AAACCAGAGCAATCAACCATCGCCCTTACGGCCCAGAGCGCCCTCCCGGACCCACCTCGACGATCGCCATGATGCAGCGGTCCAGCACGGGCTTGTAGGGCGCGTCGTGAGGAACGGGCCAGGCGGAGAGCCCCGGGAACACGCTCTCCCGCCCGACGTAGAGGCGCGTGCTGCCGTCCGCCCGCGTGAATTTCTGCGCGATCACGAGCTCCAGGTAGCGCCTCGCCTCCATGTGGGCTTGGCTGAGGTGGGCGGGGGCAGGGAAGGGATGGGTGAGAAGGATTGTTTCAGTATTTTCAAAGTGTATTTTTGTTATTGTTATTATTTACATTTGGTTTGTCTCAGTATTTTCAAATTGTATTTTTGTTATTATCATTATTTATTAGTATTTTGTATTTTTGTTATTGTTATTATTATTTACATTTGGTTTGTCTCAGTATTTTCAGAGTGTATTTTTGTTATTGTTGTTATTATTTTTTACATTTAGTGTACGTATATGCTTACACTTAATTTGCTGCTCGTGGTAGTGAAATTAGCATAAACGATATTTGAACTTGATTTTCTTTTATGATAAGGCAATATAAGTTGTGACATTCAATGTTCAGAATTATTATCTAGAATATATGGCTACAAAAGTAATTCAAGCTAAGGGACACAATATTCCCTAAAACGCTGAAAATGGTATACAAAAAGTATCAGCTGCATGACAGTCGTGACTAATTCATTTCCTAAAATTTACCCCCGAGTGACAGCCTGATCGAGGCCGTCGACAGCTGTTGGCACGATGTCGACGCGCTCCCCAAGGGTTTTGAAGTCACTGGAGTCGGACTGCTTGAAGAAGTCGCGGAAGTGTGCTCCATACGGCGGCATCGTCACCCATATCGTCAGCGTGACCCAAGGGTTTCTTTTCAAACTGCTCGCCTCCATATCGTCACCCTACAGTGAATCACTTTCATATCAATTTCGAAAACTGAATGTGTTCTTATTTACTCTGTTCAGAATAACTTTTTCACTACTTCAACCCAAGAATTACATTCAATGTACAATGTTCTGTTGCCCTGGCAGAACCAGCTACCCCTGAGACTCCCATGTGAAAGATCCGTTAACAAACCTGGCTCCTGCACTGACTAGTTCCTTGAGGGTCTCTGGGCGAGCGGGATACTTAGGGGCAGTGAGGGAGGCAGTGAGGTTGCCACGATAGGCCGTCCCCACGATGAAGGCGAACACGAGCCACAGCGCCAGCAGGAGGCGGCAAGAGTGGGTGCTGGGGAAGTACCCGGAGAGATCCTGGCCCAGCAGAGTCCGAATGATCTCCTGCACCGCAAGTTTAGGACCGATGGCGCCCTTTGTGAAGTCGTCGGTCCCGAAGCGGACGATCTGAAAGGGACGGTAGCACTTTTACGCAAATAAAAGCGGAAAGCAATGCACACCGTATATCAAAAATTGCTTACGTTCGATGAAGACATTTCCCTGGTCAGTCATTTTATCTTTCTTTGCAAAATAAAGAAGACAACGTACCAGTATTAAGGGTAGAGGCATGATTATTACGACGGCCAAGATGGCAGCCCAGACGCCATCAGTTAGAGGGTAATATAAGCTCTGCCAGCGGGGCTTGAGGGCGGGCTTGGCCATGGTGAAGGCGTGGAAGGCGTACTCAAACATGTAGGAGTAGTCGTAGCGGAGGAGGCGGTTCGGGAACACGGCGTAGATCACGTTGGCGAGGAAGGACGTCCGGTCCTCCACGCGGTCCGTCACCTGGTCGCAAAACATGGTTAGTTTCTGCTTCACTTAGTCTGATAGGATGTCTCGGCAAGGCATCCGTGCCGATAGAAAGGGCCGTGTTGAAGCAGTCTGTCAGTGGTTCTTTGCATGTCTTTTGTGCGGGCGGGGTCTTTATGCAAGGATTTTACAATACACTTAAAGTAAAAAATAATGTACGGTTTACATTATCAGTACAAAATTCCAGTGACGATGAAACTGCAACACCGGTAATATTTCAGGACCCAGTAAGGATCCAAATTTCGAGTACATATTCACGAATAACCGAAAAAATGAACCCTCACCTCGTCCCAGTTGGCAGTAGGAAGAACACGAATGGAAAAGTTGAGTGCCCCCGCTATGGCCTCCAGCATGAGGTAGTCTGTCCCCGTGAACCCCTTGGTCGTGGTGCCGTCAGGGGAGCTCTCCTCTACCGTGTCCCAGTAGGGCGGGAAGGGCAAGGCGGTCACGTTCACGGTAGCCCCATGAAAGCTGAAGAACATTCGCGCAAACAACAGAGAAATTATGGCAACTGGATTATAATGGTGAAGAAAAATGTTTAGTGAAGACTGTAAACACAGTTCCTATCTTTGCTGCTTGTTTCAAACGATTCGTTCTTTAATACGTCCTTTGATATATGATACATCCTTTTGATATGTCCAAATTATATGTCATTTGATATGTCCTTTTGAAAGCTAGAACTTACTTCAGAAACTTCTGCGGGAAGAGAGAAAGAGGGGAGAGGAGCTGCAGTCCCCGCGCTCGAGACCAAGTGGCCACTCTCACCGTCGAAGGCCCTTGGTCGCTGTACGGCAGATGTACATACAGACCACAACTAAGGAGCAGAAATACTAAATCAACTATTCATGGATATGATATTTAGTTATTTCAGTAAGCGGCTAATTGCAGTTTTACAAAACGTAACTGAAAGACTACTCGAAAACATTCATGGGCTATATATCTTTCGTAAAAATCCTATAAATCTTTCGTAAAAGCCCTATAAATCTTTCGTAAAAGCCCTATAAATCTTTCGTAAAAATCCTATAAATCTTTCGTAAAAATCCTACAAATCTTTCGTAAAACTCAACAAGAAATTAATACCCCAATAAACTACCTTGCAAACTCCGTCCTCTCCTCCACATTGAGAACCATGGCATTCATCATAGAAAAGGTCCAGTGGGAGACCATGACGTGCCTTAGGTCCTCCAGGGGAAGGCGCGTGAGGACCAGGAGTCTCGTGGCCCACACCAGGAGGCGATTCCGCAGCGCCCACGCCGCCACCGACGCCAGGAACTGAGGCTCCTCGCTCACGGCCAGCACAGTCACGCACCAGGAGAGGAGGCGGAGCTGTGCGGGAGAAGAGCGTTCCATGGCAGATGCAGTGGGGAAAAGACAGAGATGTACACGCTGGATAATTGAAAAAATACGAAAATATATCTGCATTTTACATCAGAAAGAGTAATACTGAATGTGCCTCTGATCCATTCTGTATTTTTCTTTACTTACGCATGAACACATCAACAGTCATAGTTACACACACAGACACACACACACCCATATGAGTGTGTGTTTCGTTACTTATATATATATATATATATATATATATATATATATATATATATATATATATATATATATTATATATGTGTGTGTGTGTGTGTGGTGTGTGTGTGTGTGTGTGTGTGTGTGTGTGTGTGTGTGTATAGATAGATAGATAGATAGATAGATAGTTATATATTATATATAGATATAGAAAGATCGATATAAATATAGATAGAAAGATAGATAGATATAGACAGACAGATAATGTATATTTAGATTATATTTAGACATACATATAGATCGATAGATATATATGCCTACCTCCCTGACTCTTTTCATGATGTGGACTGCCTGGGCTTCGGTGTCATTGTCGTTGAGTCTTTCCCGCGTCACTTCAAAAACACCGACCCCCATTGGGCCGCCTAGACTCTGCACTTTCTGTCGAGCATAAAGATCATGCGAATAACAAACTCATGACCATTCCCTTGTTAATCAATATAATCAAATTGATGTAATAAATCCGACTGCTGAGATTTTAACAGAGCAGTTGTTCTTGCTGTGTGTAGCTCATTTATAGTGCAATCTAGATCTACGATTCCGAAACTGTTGTCTCACTTTCTTCAATAAATCTAGTTTGTGCATTGTGTTTTTTTCTACCATAGTATCAACACGGTAGAGTGTTTTTCCATTCACATTAGATCGCTTATGCTGACATCGACGACACCTGATAAACACTGTAGATAGAAGAGGAGGAAGTCGAGCCATCGGAGAGGAAGACGAGAGAACAGGACGAATCGGAGACGGTGTCGAGCACGGCGTTCACTGCTTCGCTCGCATGTGTTAAGACCTCTTGGTTCTCTGTGTGGAGGGCGGTGCGGGCGGTTAAGGTGGGGATAAATAATTGGTTAGATATGTTCTGGTAATTTTACGTAATGGTTCCGCCTAAAGGATCGTGACGATTTTGGTATCGCTGGATTCCTCTCATTTTCTGGTTTCCTAATATGTAGAAGTTGTTGCGCGGAAACCCCATTAGTGAGGTTTGGTCTAGATAGGGGAAGACAGGGGACATTACTGGTTCTTATATGAAATATACACAGAATCAGTCACTAAGTTGTCTAATGCAGTCCCTTCCCCCCATGGGAGGCTTCGGCTGTCCACCTCCTCCCTCCATTCCTCATCCTCATCCTCTCTCTCTCTCTCTCTCTCTCTCTCTCTCTCTCTCTCTCTCTCTCTCCACGTACTCACGGCAAGAGAGAGCGTACGACCACCAAGCCGGAGCGCCCGTTGTCAAGTCTGTCCGAATACGTGGAGGATTCTTTGTTTTCCTAGGCGGGGGCATGGGGGTGGCAGCCAACCATGAGGGGGTGGGGGACGCAGGTGTCATAGCCCCCTGCATTGGACATTATAGTGACTTATTCTGTTTATGTTATTCATATTTTACCCTGCAATTTCCCTTCCATGCCTTCTCCAGCTATCGGGACCAAGAACGTGGGGTTAGGCTGTGTCCACGCAATATTTTCTATATATTTGTTATCCAACGACAACAAAATCATATACGCACGCACTGTATACATACATGTCGAGTATCTTCATTTTCTTTCACTCAAGGACCTGTCCACTGACCTGCAAGTACCGGATTCTTGGCTGAGGCCCTCAAGTGGAGGATCGCGAACGAAAGCAAGAGGAGCAGAGCAGCCATGATGGTTCTGAGCTGTGGAAAATGTTTATTATTCTCATACTCTCTTCTTTTTTATTGTTACGTACCTTCATATGGTACATATAGATACAGTGTACCTATTGTCTTAACCAGGATATGGATGTCCTAAATACAGGAGTACTACAGATAAAAATAGACTTTCTTCACGAAAAATATACATTTGTTAAGCTTGGCGCGCTGTGATATATTGCAAGAATTCATAAATAAAATGCAGCTTCCAAACATTAGGATCGATACTGGAAGTACAGAGTTCGTAGATTTTCGATGCCAATCGAAGTTCACGAAAAAATTAATTCAAAAAAAGTCATTAAAGGTAATTTGTCACTGACTGAGGACTGAGTAAACGGAAGAAACTTCAGATTTTGAAGCTTTTTCATTGGTTGTGTGATTGTGTTCGTTAAACATGATGGCAGAAACGGAACCTTTGCTGGGATGGAAGACAAACGTGGATGAGTTAAATAAATCTTGTTAAAGATTTATTATATTTATTATAATTCTTATTTATTCCTTTCCAACCTGCAGCCTACGATCCACCATGACATTTTATTTCCGGTTAACTTTCCTCTATCAGCACTGAATTCATTTTCAAAATCAATATGCTTGCCTTAATCGAAATACTAATTCCATTATGTATTTATGCCTTCTGCTTTCATTTTATGTTTCTAAACTGCTTTCATCATGTACGCTTCGAAATTCTGTTTTCACCATGTGTAGGTCTAAATCGTGCATCGGTTATATGTCTACATTTTGGATATGTGCGTCTAAAACCCTTTTTTTTTAAATTATTACGAGTGAATCTATTTTTTCTTTTATTTTGTGCATATCCAAATGCTGCATTTGCTATGAGTGCATCTAAATTCATTTTTTTTTGTGCATATCCAAATGCTGCTTTTGTTATGAGTGCTGAGTGCATCTATTTTTTTCTTTTATTTTGTTCATATCCAAATGCTGCTTTTGTTATGAGTGCATCTAAATTCTTCTTTTATTTTGTGCATATCCAAACCTTGCTTACATGATGAATCCATCTAAATTCTGCTCTTATTCGGTGTATATCCAAATCCTGATTTTCATTATGTGTGCATCTAAATCCTTCTTTCATTATGTGCGTTTAAATTCTGTCTTTATTGCATGCGTCTGAATTGTGTTCTCAGTGTATCCAACTATAACCGATTTTCATCAAGTTTGCGCTTAAATCCCCCTTTCATTTTGTGCTTTAAAATTCTTCGCTTACTATTTGGGCATAAATGCTGTTATTATATGCCTCTACAGCTTACTTTCATTAAATTTGCGTCTAAATTCCGCAATTTTTTGTACATCGAAATCCTGATTTTACTATCTGCATCCTAATCCTGTTTTTCATTACTGGTGCATTACGGATAAGTCCAATTGCGTTCTTCGCAGCTAAATCATGCTTTAATTACCTCTACGTCCAAATCCTACTTTTATTATGTCTAAAATTTGCTTTCCCTATGTGTCTTATTGCTTATTATGTTAAAATTTGCTTTCCCTATGTGTCTTATCCCTGCTTTCATTATGTCTAAATTTGCTTTCCCTATGTCTTATCCCTGCTTTCATTATGTCTAAAATTTGCTTTCCCTATGTGTCTTATTCCTGTTTTCATTATGTGTCTAAATTCTGATTTCCTTGTGTATCTTATTCTTGCATTCATTATATGTGCGTCTATTTTTTTTCCAATGCGTGTCTTGTTTCTGCTTTTATTATTATTTTCTATCGTATACATCTAAATTTTATATTTGCTATGTGAATATTTTTTAAAATTTGGTTTGCAACTAAATTCTGCTGTTATTATTTGCGTCTAAATCTTGCTTCCATTGTGTGTGAATAATAATCTTCATCAACTATATATATGTAACACGAATAACACTTCAGACAGGATATGTATCTGCATGTTATCGTATTATTCTTCATATTTCCCATATTACATCGCATAATGTATCACATATTTCTTTTCTTTCACATCTATTTATTTTCCACATTTATTGGGGGCGAGGGAGAGGGAATGAGAGGAGGGAGGAGAAGGAGAGATGGAGGGACGGAGGGAGGAAGGAAAAGGAGAGAGGGAAGGAGGGAAGAAGGAAGGAAGTAAAAGAGGGAGGGAGAGTAGGAAGAGGAGAGAGAGAGAGAGAGAGAGAGAGAGAGAGAGAGAGAGAGAGAGAGAGAGAGAGAGAGAGAGAGAGAGAGAGAGAAGAGAGAGAAGAGAGAGAGAGAGAGAGAGAGAGAGAGAGAGAGAGAGAGAGAGAGAGAGAGAGAGAGAGAGAGAGAGAGAGAGAGAGAGAGAGAAAGAGAGGAGAGAGAGAGAGAGAGAGAGAGAGAGAGAGAGAGAGAGAGAGAGAGAGGAGAGAGGAGGGAGGGAGAGAGAGAGAGAGAGAGAGAGAGGAGAGAGTGAGTGAGTGAGTGAGAGAGAGTGAGAGAGTGAGTGAGTGAGTGAGAGAGAGAGAGAGAGAGAGAGAGAGAGAGAGAGAGAGAGAGAGAGAGAGAGAGAGAGAGAGAGAGAGAGAGAGAGAGAGAGAGGAGAGAGAGAGAGAGAGAGAGAGAGAGAGAGAGAGAGAGAGAGAGAGAGAGAGAGAGAGAGAGAGAGAGAGAGAGAGAGAGAGAGAGAGCGAGAGAGACGGAGAGTGAGAGAGAGTGAGAGAGAGAGAGTGAGAGAGTGAGAGAGAGAGAGAGAGGAAGAGAGAGAGAGAGAGAGAGAGAGAGTAAGTGATCATATAAATCAATATACAATTTGAAGCAATACTTAAAGTTCACCTTGGCGAGAGAAGTTGTAAGACATGAATCATTTATGCATATCATTCTGAAAAGTAACGTAATTTAATTTCATATAAATAAGAAAATGTGATAAACTCCCATTACATGGGATCTAAAGCATGGCATATAATATTAAAAGAAAACCCCGGAATTCACCTTACGGACAAAGCAAAGCCAGAGATATTATGTTCACGAAAGGATCGGTGGCTGGATTCTCTAAAGCACTTGCAGGATTGCATGACTTCGAAATGCGACCTCGATGACCATAAAGGACCTGACCTGACCTGACCTGACCTGACCTGACCTGACCTGACCTGACCTGACCTGACCTGACCTAACTTAACCTAACCTAACCTAACTCTATCGTTTCTTTTAGGGTGATCTTTTGAACGGTGTTTGCATTGTATAAATATGTATCTAAATCTATCCATCTGTATATCCAAATTTGATAAAACACTATTATATATTTTTCACGAAAATGTACTTGTATTCTAAAGTAATTTCACCGAGAAATTTGTGGACTAACGGATCAATTGATAGCCATGCTTCTCTACTCACTGACTTGTTATGTTTTTGTTTGACCTTTTAGCTGGCACAGGAAAGTATACTTGAAATATAAATTAGATAACATGGAAAATACCAACAGTAATAAATATGGTTTGTTTACATGTGATTTGATGTTACGAAAATGAGATTTACGTCAATTTACGTTCCCGCCTTTTTTCTGTTGCAGATTTGGAGTTCGACCTCATGGAAGACACCTGTATATTTGATTTCTTTATTATTATTGTTTAATCGGGCCGTTAATTATGCCATTCCCTCGAAAAGAATTGTAATTACAACCCTGGTCCAGGATCATAATAATCCATTGATTACTGCGCGATATTATGTAATGAAACCCAGTGACTCACGAAAAAACGTTACTAAAGACACCATCTGCAATTAATTCATAGCAAATAGTATGTGCCTTCAATCTGCACCTTATCAAATGTCTCAGAAGGTAAATCTATAATGTTTGACTTTGCTTAACTGTCCGCAACAAAATCTGAAGGAAATGCAATGCTAGCTTGACTTAACACAAGATTTCTCGATTTATTGAAAGGGATATGGCATCCTGAACTCCAGTGTAATCGCAATGCATTTGTTATGAACGTGGACATAAAGAATAAATCAACTTGTAAAGGTACAGCTTCCGTGAGAAACAATATTTTTTCGTTAGGACGAAGTGGAGGAGGTGGGAGAGAAGCAGAAGCGATGAAGGGGTGGGGTGGGAAGAGGGGAGAGAGAGAGGAGAAAAGAAAGAGAGAAATGGGGAGTAAGAAAAAAGGAGAGAGACAGTGAGAGTGATACTGAAGATGATACACCTCACGCACTTCAATGCAAGGTCTATATAAGTACCCCAAGGGAAACCCGAGAGGGAGGGAGAGGGAGGGAGGAGGGAGGAAGGAGAGGGAGGAGAGGGAGGGAAAGAGAGGGAGGGAGGGAAGAGAAGGAGAGGAGGAAAGAGGAGGGAAAGAGAGAGAGGAGGAAAGAGAGAGAGAAAAAAGAGTAGGAAAGAGAAAGAGAATGAGAGAGAGAGAAGAGAAGAGAAAGAGAGTGAGTGAGCGTAAGTGAAAAAGAGAGGTTTACAAAGCAAAATAAATGTGCTAGACATCGAAGGCCATATAGCCCTATAGAAAGGGATAGTAGCAAAAAGGGCAAAGAGGGAGTTCTGTTGGTGGTTACACGTCGAAAGTCGTTTATGTCATCTTGACGTATGAAGAGGATGAAGTAGGTAGGAATCGCATGCGGAAAAAAATCCGAAGTAATGTAAAGGAAAATAAAAACAAAAGGAGGAAAAGAATTGAAGAAGATGAAAGAGAGAAAGACGGAAAAAGAGAAGAGAGGAACTGAAGTGGCCTCGTCGAAAACGAATTGCCTTAAAAGCCGGAGACACGAATCGTATATCGTTCAAGATAGTATGGTATTGAAAGAGGCAAAGGGGAATGAAGGTAGAGAGGGTGAGTAATACGCGGTTCAACTGGTCTTGTGTACGTTTAGGACCAAAACTTGTGTCCGAATGCGCAGCCAGACGTAGAGTTTCAACTGCGAAAAGCATCGCCATAATGGACTGCACATGCCTCTCGCCTGAACAACTCAGCGTATAGTACTTCTCGTTTGAGCCACTTAGAGCAAAGGACTTATTCTCTGTTTCATCATAGTTTTGTGTTTCATGGAGTATATGTTTTTTTCTTTTTTTTAAGAAAACCCGATTTACAGATTCAAATTTATTAACGCTAGTCGGACGGGCCGTCGACGCAAGTGTAGACCCTGTTTCAAGTTAGCCGTTCCTATTTTTTGTTGTTATATAAAACGAATTTTGTTGTTAGTAACTATAAATGTATCGTATAAAAGCTCTAATGTAACTTTTGCTGAATTTATAGATACTGATTTTTTTAAGCGAATTACAGACAATATTTTGAAATTGCACCCTGGAAAGTCCGGAGAGACCCGGGGAGAAACACGCCCCACGTCGTGTTATCGCTGGCTCCCTTCGGCTCCAGATAGCCATGCTTACGGTCATCCCTGCGCGTACACAAGACCAGTTGAATCGCGCCTTAAACGGGCAAAGATAGGGCTTAACAAAGGCCATTAGATCAAAGTTGTTAAAGGAAGAAATGTGGGATTCTGCAAGGATGTCCATAGGGTAAGGTAGGGATTAGCAAAAGGAGAAAGGGACCTTTAAGGGTGATTAGATCAGTTTCAGGAGAAATGTCAGGAGGGAGGGAATCCAGGGAAGAAGGTTGTGGATATTTACACGTGTATCCAGAGGTAAGCGGAAGGGATAATGGGTAAGGAAGGGGGTGTAGGGGGGACATGAAGAGGAGGATAGATATCGGCAGATAATTTGAGCATAGAGGGAATGGAAGCAGAGAAATTAGACAATGGATGAGGTGTAGACACTTTAACTTGGGCCATCATTAGATAGCTCTGAGTGTCTTCCGAGAGTTTCTGAAGTGAATTTGGTTGGGGAGGTCGGATAATTAAAAAAATCGCATGAGAGAAGAGGAGATAGATGTCTGAGGGGTAGAGGAAGGCGTAGGTGGAAGAGTGGATGTGGTAGATGAGGTAGAACGTTTAGATTGTCTGCCACGGGTAGAACTAGGAGGGAGGGGGTAGGTGTCGGGGCAGTGTTTGAGATTGGGGTGTCTGGATTTATAATTGCTAAATAACTTGATCGGGGAGGAAGAGGATTGAAGTGGAAACTTAAGATGGAGGAGGAATAGATAGAGGGGTGATGTAGAAACATCTTGGGGAGAGGGGTGGAGTGAGGAACAACACTGGAGTAGGAAGAGAAAAACTTCGTCGACGTGCTTCCTGTCTGGTCGCACGTAAAGTAAGGCCATGTTAGAATTTAAGTTACCGCCTCTCAGTCAGGTAGGGCACCTCCTCTAAAATGCGTTATGGGAGCCACCACAATTGGCACATGCGTGAATGTGTAGAACAGTTATATCGATCATTACCAGGTTGGGCATTCAGAAGGCATCGGGTTGTGGAGCGGCAGTGTTTAGCAGGGTGGCCTAGACGCCAACAATGCTGACGGGGGGAGGTTGAAGTAGTCGGACAGGGAGGGACTCTCCACTAATATGAATCTTGGTAATACTAGTGGGTTTTACGGCGGCCTCTAGGGGGGAATGGTGCTGCATTGTACTGACACTGCACCATAGTCCATGAGACAGGCGAGTATGTCTTCTCCACAATCTGCCCAATCCTTGACGTAGACAGGGCAGTTTGTTAAGGAGATGGAGACAGTTCCGGTACAAGTATTGGAACTTTGCCTACTTGTTTTGGGAGGCATTGTTGTCAGAGTAAGGGGCTGTAGAGGGATCACAAAACATCGAATCCATTTGACTGGCTGAACAGAGTACTCGAGAGATTTGTAGAGGTGGTGTTAATAGAAGGACGGGGCCCTGTGGAAGAGGGTGTAGCGTTGGGTGAACTAGTACTGCGGAGACTGATAATAAGGTTGCAAAGTAGTAATAAGAGAAAAGGGGTAATAGGCGAAGAAAGGTACAAGGGTGGAGATGAAGTAGAGGATGGTGGGAGAGGAGGAATGTTCCCTGGAGGTTGAGTAATGACGTAGGTGGATGATTTGCACTGGAGTGAGGTGATAGTAGGAGTTGAGGAGGGAGTAGTAGTGGTGCGGTCAGAGAACCGGGGGAACTGAAATCAGTGGCAAGCCTCATTGTCCCAAAGAGGAATAAAAAAATATTACTGACCATGGTAAGCCTCGAGTATGTTAGGGAGAAGAAATGGTCCACTCCCCAAGGTCCCCCTGCGGGATAAGAGCTAGACAATCAAATGGGGCAGTTGTTCGCCTATTGTACCCTTTATTACTTGTACTCTTACGTACCAACCATCCCTGTCCACCATGGCTAAACAAACTGTTTTATTTAGGATAATGCAAATAATATAATAATTAGAAGACTGCATTGCAAGAGTGTTGGTCAATAAATTCGAATTTAATCCACAAATAAAAAGATGATTCATAAAAAATGTGATATATGTGTGCGTATGCGCGGGCGCGCGCGTTCCTTTTTGTACACGGACCCTCATGATCTATGTTGCGTGCGGACCCCAGTTTGGACAACACTGAAATAGGGGAAATAGGGTGCCCATGGCTCCCCTAGGCCGTTCATGACTGCCACAAAGTCAGCCTTTCAACACGGCGCTCGCACCTTATGAAGTGGATAGTAGGAGTTGGGGATGAAGGCTGAGGGCCAAAGGAGGGATAATCCCCGGCAGTGCCGCAGTCTCGTCTCCTAAGACCTCACACCCTACGGCAACAAGGGATTGGAGGGGTGATGCATATAGTTATAGTGTGTGTGTATTTGAATGAGTGATATTACTTATTCAAAAATTTCTCCAGTGCAAACTGTTGTGACAGGGACATTGAAGAAAATGCATCTCACGCACTTCTAAGAGCCCAAGGGAAGCCCGAGATAGATAGTGAGAAATAAAGAGACAGTGTGAGTGAGAATTTAATCCAGTTACCAACCGCTACAGAATTAATAATAATGAATTAATCCACAGGCGTGCTTGGGTCTCGTGTTTTTGCCAACATTTATGATCATGTTAGTTTTTTTTTCACCAGCATGTTCTTATGAGTACTATATATTGGCTGTAGAATGCAATTTCTTAAAATATATTTTCCTCTGATGAAATATGTAAATTATAATACATTTTTAAATTGCCTAAAGAGATTTATAAATTATGTAGAATCCCTTGTTTAAAAGGTTGCAAATGAAAGCAAACATGCGAAATCTATAAATTTATTCAGTATCTTTTAATATTCAATAAAAAATCCGAGACAATAAACAATCTTGATTTTTGAGATCGTTTGTACACACATCCAAGCGCTTTGATGAACATGCAAAAATTCCCTTCCTTACTTTTTACCTTAATAAAGCGCAAGGATTTACAAAACCGAGAAATCATAAATTTAGAGATTACCTGAAATGTTTTTTTTTAATTGACTTGTTTTAAGAAATGAGTATAATTACCTCCGTGCTTTTCATGTATCAAAATAATTATCTTTTCCCTTTCATTTCACATGAACATTATGCTACAAAAGTTTCCGATGTGGCTCAATATTAAGTATATCATAATTATTTGGTTTATAACACTTGGCTAGCTTACCCTTCACACTTGGTTAAATGTCATTATAAATACGTTGCTAGCTCATACGAAAAATAATTACACCATACTGAGACATTGAATTATCAACCATAATAATAATAATAATAATAATAATAATAATGATAATAATAAAAATGCCATTCGAGTAATGGTCAATATATATTTAGATACTACATAAAGCAAGTGAGACGGATAGACACTCGCTGGCATCGTCTTATTCCACCCTTCAAAAGCTGCTGTTAAAACACCACTCTCTCTCTCTCTCTCTGCAGGCGTGTTGGTATAATCTCCACCTACCTGTTAGTGCAGTGCTTACCTCGGAGCACGCACCAACCTCCCTGGTAATATATATATATACACAAATATACTGACACATGCGCAACACACGATATAATTTTCTGATAATACGATCACATGGAACAAAACCTTCAATTCCATTGGATTAGTTCATCAACCCTATCCATGCTACACCCACTTGGCCTAATCAACTTCAAAATTGACTTTACGAAGGTTACACGCAAATGCCGTGGCCTGACAACGTGCGAATCAAGAGTTGGAAGTTATGCGTGCAGATGTAATTGAAACTCTAATATTATTATAAGGTGAATGAGCACAGCAATTCAGAGTTTTGCGAAGGCGCCTTGCTTGTGACCCAACCTCTTTCAGGTTGGAGCGGACTCGTGTTCTCAACCGAGAGCGGCGAGATCGTCCGTGGTTTATTTGCGCTGTAGAAAGACCTTAATAACCACAGCAGCTGATAGGTCTAAAGCCCGAATGAAAACAACCACAACTGAACGATTAACGTGGAGGCCGGATTACCTCTAGGCGATCTACGAGTAACATTTCATGAAGATAGCGTATTTATACCTCATACCTCCAAGGGAAGAAAAGGGTCGAAATTGGTTTCATGTTCACTTAATTGAATGCATTGGAGATTACCTAGAGATGGGAGTATAACCGGGGGGAGAGAGAAGATTGACATGGGGGGGGTTTACTAAGGGGGGGAGGGAGGGGGGATGAGGCTTAGGAAACGTTCATACTTGGAAAAAAGGACTTCCTTCACCCCGGTTACTTTTGTTCAAATGTCTTAAATCTAGGACGAGCAATTTATCAAGACGAAGGTAACAGGCTTACTAACTTAAATGTTACATTACTTCTTATAAAAAATCTATTTTTATATTTCTATTCCATTTAATTTTGCACCAAAATCCCTACACGTATTTTTTTGTTCTCTCCCTCATCTTCATTTATCACGGTTTCTTTCGTGCATTTCGTCCTTAAGTACCTGAATTACAAAAGCACTGCTCTTCACCTACATGGAAAGATAAATTTTAAGTACAACCTTAATTTTGCAGTAATGGTCTTTACAGATCGATGAGGATTTTTATATACTGCTACTTTTCTGTGATCCGTTTCGTCTGAATGTTGTACAACCCTCTTAGTTGGGGTCAGGAGAAAAAGGTCCCTTGCTTCTATTCATCCCAAAATGTCCTGGCTTTAAAGATTTCCTGTTTCAATGACCACTTACTCAGACCTTGCATTGCAATTTGAATGGTTTTCTTGCATCGCACTGCGTCCTGTCGTAGGCCTCGAGCCAACATTATCAAAATATTTAAGTAGATTCATACTACATGACCTTGCTGTTAACTGGTACAATTTTTAAATTAAAACTTTATACATTTTATACTCCAGGGTATCTTCAGTAACCCTTGATCACAATATTAATAAACTTTCATAAAGAACACTGAATATAATATTGCACAATGGCATGGAGTCTTGCTTTCCGAAAGCAAGTGCCTTGTCATTCTATGTAGCACGATTATTTAGGACTGCAGAATTTTTAACATTTTCTAGGCTGGCAGTTAATTTACAAGGACGTTTACAAGAAAGGTTACTTTCTATTTTTGTAAGCACTTTTCTTCAAAGAAAACCATCTGATAAATAAACCATGAACAATATTCAAAATGTGCCACCTGAGTGGATTAATCAATAAGACACACATGTGCTTTACTGTTTATTGTAAAAATAGATGTTCAAAGCACATTTTCGTTGTGGATGATGACCTCCACAATGCATTACTGTGGACGATGGTGGCTTCCACTGGCTGGCTGCCCCTGCAATGCTGAGCCAATGCTGCCTGATACTGCCAATAATGTCAAGCAGGGGCAGTAATGTGGCAGGCTTTTGGTAGCCCGAATGGTGTTGTCTCCACTCTCTACTCTACATCAAAAATTAATGCAGAGCTAAGACTTCACACTGCTACTTTCATATTCTACGCAAAAATGTAGAATTTTTGATGACCTTGTGAGCTGGCCTCTTTGGGCAAGTGTTTACAAGTCTGCCCAAAATAAGGGGCAATCGTTTCTAAATTATCCTTTACATTCAGAAGTGTTAAGAGGACAGCTCCTTTCCAAAAATAAAAATGTACATAAAACAAAATAAAGATTTTTGTCCAACTCCAACATTTCTACATGTGGAGCTTTCGTATAAGAAACTGATATTTTTGCAACAAATGTGAAAAATGGTTTGCATTATTCTATATTGTCCCTCTTTGCACCCAATACCAATTAAGGTATTTAAGAAGCTGGCAGGTTCCTTTATTTGGAGTTTAAATCAAGTTTATATAGTTTTGAGGACCATATTTGTACAGTTCATTGATGTATATATACCTCTTGCCATACAAAAAGGAACTTTCAAGACAAATTCCAGCCGCCTTATGGCACAGGCTACTGGATGGACCAACCTAGTTCCTTGCACCTACAGAAGACTACAAAAATGCTGCTGCTGTTGCTGGATTAAAGAATACCCTTTATCACCTGTAAAAGGTTCCTGTTCAATGTACCATCAATTCACTAACTTATCCATTGCACTCCCTTGTCCTATCTCTTCCAATCCACATTCCTTTAAACATTCCAACAGAATCTGCTCTTTAAGTCATTCCATGCCTTTCTATCCAGTCACATCTAGCCATCATTTGAACAGGTCTTATCTTCTCTACAAAAACCTTTTCTTTTACTCATTTTTTTTTTTGTTTTGTTTATCTGTTAACCAGATAACATTCCAGCATTTACTAAATTCTAAAAGGAAACTTCCTGTAGGTCAAATACTTGAACATAATATTTTTCTTCATAACCAAAATATTTGTAATTAAATATATTCTAACAACAGTTAGAATGAGTCAATTCTACATCTGTAATTATGCTGCACCATCTATATCCTAATTCACAATTACACCTAGTTCAAATTTCATCCACAGACTCAAAACACCAATAAGGAAACCTTCAATATCAATTAAAGCTTAATCATTTCTTTTAACTAGGCACAATTTTTTCAATCAACACATTCCTTATTAAGTATAACTATTATTCAGATGTAGCAAACCCTGTTTCATTGCTCTTGGTGCAGACTTCACTTCCAGCTTTGAAAGGCTACTTGTTCGGTGTAGAATTCCTGACAGCTGGCACATATGCGCTTCCACCACCATTGCTGCTGCCAGTTCCTCGTTGCGACATACCATTGACACTGCTTGCATTACCTCTGGTGCCTCCTCGTCCACCGCGGTAGCTGCCACCACCACCTCCACCCCTAAGATGGAGATTTAAAAGGCCATCTTGTATTTTTTTAAATTGTACTTTTCATTTTCTTTGATCAGACTCAAGGGGAAAAAAGATATATATAAATAAAAAAAAGTAAAGTTACCTGTAGTATCCTTGGTTATAGTTATAGTTTCGGTAATAGCCACCACGGTAATAACCTCTTCCACGGGGATAAAATCCTCTCCTGGCTGAACTTACACCAAAGGTCTCTACGTTGATTTTTCGTTCAAGTCTCCAGTCTGGACGTTGGCTCTTTCTGGAAGTGCAAAGTAAGCATTATCTCAAAAGTACTTGGCCTATATTTAGGGTAATATTTAAAAAAACAGAGCATTTACTCACCCTTTACTACGCTCAATAGATTCACAAGAAATCCTGTCAAAGAAAGATTTTGCCTTGTCGTAGCAAGTTGGATCTTCAACATCCTCTCCACCAGCAGTCTCATGCCCCGAGTCATCCTTCTTTTCACCATTTTCGGTAATCTTCGTCTTTGCCAGCTGATTCTTCAACTCCTCAAATTCCTCATTAGCTTGCTCAAAATCATAATCCTTCTCGAACAACTGCTGATCCTGGATCTGGCGCTGCCTATTGCCCTGATTGAAAATCTGCCCTCTGCCTCGTTGTCCACCAGGTCTTCTCATACCACGGCCACGTCCCATACCACCTCTGCCTTGGTACTGATGGTACTGGTAATTATTGTGGTACTGTTGTTGTTGGTTAGGATGGTGATTCTGCTGAGACTGTTGCTGCTGTTGCTGTGGCTGCTGCTGTTGTGCCTGCTGCTGGTTGCGACGCCCTTGCCCACTCTGGTTGCCATTGCGCTGGGGTCTACTGAAAAGTTGGGCATTTCCTGATTTCTATCACCAATACTCTTTGATGATCCAATAAAAATTGTTAAGTTAAAGGTGTACAAGATAAATCTAATAGCAAACTTTTCCCAAGTCAATAGCTAGGTTAGCAAAGGCTAACAAATTTAACAAGTACATATTCAAAACAAAAACCCTTTGCATGTTGAGAAAAGAATCTGGACTTACAGTATGTAATGTATAAAATCAAGCTCTTCAAAGCAAAAGTACAAATTCAAAATAGCTACATCATAACCAGTAGAAATACCTTTCCTGTTGTGATTGTCTCTGCTGTTGGGGAGATTTCTTCTTCTCTTCCCTTGAAGGGGGAGGCGAGACTTGCACTCCAGCATCAGAGACTGGGGACTTTCGAGCAGTTGGCGTGGATGAACGTGAGCCTACTAGGATGTCTGAGAGAAGACCAACAGGAGGAAACAATTTGCTAAATTAATACACACTGTCCTCACCATCTTTCTTCTGCCACATGATATAGTGCAGGTTAGTTAGGTCTAGATGTGCAGCTGCTTACACTAATTGCTATTATGGCAACCCTATTACTTAAAAAATAACTTATCTATTTGTGGCAAACCGAGTGGCAGTGGCGTTTGTTGGTAACAATGTTCCTATGCTAAAATGCAAATTTGACATCCACATCTTTACTTGGTCAAATGGAGCCTCTGAAGTACTTTTAATATGTTAAAATTCTTTTGACTGATCAAAATCAAGTTGAAATATAATGCCTTTTACGACAAAGAAAGATGCAGTGTTCAAATTGCAATACATGTATGGAATACTTACTTTCCTATATTCTAATAAATTACCCCCAAACAAATCTGCATTTACATGGTCAGGAAATCAAACTACCTGCCCCCTTTTCACCAACTTTATATGTCTAAAATCCTGATAAATGATCAGAATTTCAGAATAGTGACAGTCGATACCAAAATCCTTTGAACCTTAATATTTTTTCTTTTACTACCCTGAAACCGACAATTCTTACCATTCAAATTTCTACTTTTCATTCTGGGGAAATAATGTAGTTCTAAAAATTGGCATAAGTAGTCACTTTGAATTTTGGAGAGAGAAAATAAAAAGCACATAAAATTTCACATTCATTAACTAACATTTCTCTAATCTGAAATTCTCAAACTCAGATTTTTCTACCTTTCATATCAGTTTTCATTTTATAAGTAAATACAGTATACTCAATATCATTTCGATTCGTTGCTTTCCACGGGGTCTCCAATCTATATCAAGTAATGTTTGCAAAATGCAGCAAATTGAGTGAACATCAGTCATGGAAGGTTATGGATTTTGAAAAAAATTGTGATACAGGACAACAAAAAGGCCCCAAATAATGAGATGTGCCCTCACTATTTTTTAGGCATAAAAGTTTAATGCACTCCTGCCAACCTATGCAGGCAAAGGTTCTACTTGTGCTATCTCAAATATAGGTTTAAATATACATGTATAAATATTTAAGTTGTCAGCCTCCTAAATATTAATACAATCTTTGCAGTACTACCTACATAAACATACTAAATGTTGGAAAATAATAAACGACTGTTACAAATATATGAAAATACCAATCTACCCAGTTTACTTGGCTATCTACATCCGATACGAGTGTCTATACAGTCAAGATATGAAAAACCAGGCATAGTTTCCTGGATCTACCAACTCTTCACATAATAAACAATCTTGATATAAAAGTTAAGGTGAAGTGTGATCATTTTCCTTTAACAATGTACTAAATGATTAAATCAGATTTGAGGACGCCTGTTGTGTTTCTTCTGTATCCTCTCAAAGAACTACCTAACTATCTTAAAAAAAATTGCAATTGTTCATACCAATATTCTTTACATTAAAGGAAGCAACTAGATTTAAAGCAAAGTCTTCCCACTATTTCTTCTCTACTATGAGAATGCTAAAATAGTTTGAAATATAACTTCAATTTACATCCTACAATAATCACGGTAATTAATGCACATTACTTTGCTTATACATACATATACATGTATCTTGTATCAAAAATTATACAAAATTTACCCACTTCTAGATGGTGTTGAGTTATCAGCAAAATCTACAATAAGGAAGCTATGTCTAAATGCTGTAGGTGCATGTGTATTTACATACAGAGCTTGTATACATGTACAGCTGTATACAGATACCCATATACAGGTTGAACCTCATTTCATGTTGGTATTAGGTTCCTGAAAATGGAAACTAAATGAAACCAAACAGACTTTGCTCTTCACCAATTAGGTTTACGACTACCAAGATAGTTGCTATGAGCAGAATCCAGGTAATACAAGACAAGCCTGGTTATGGCTGCAAGTTTCCATTTATGATTACCTAATAGAAATTATTGTGCATCTGTCACTGACTGACATTTAGATATCAAGTACACCTTGTGGCACCGTCTTTAGTAATCAAAAGAAACTACTACTACTTGGTAAGCACTTCTCTTGAATAAATGATTTCTTGATAATTTGATAAAATTTCTTACTGATAATTTCAAGCTTGGTATCTGATAAACTGGCTAGAGTTCTTTATGAACTTGACTGCCATGTAGTAGATAATACACAAGTGTTGTATAACCTATAGTTTATATCTTAGTTTAGGTTACAATTACACCTATACTTCACTTCTCAAAGTCTCTAGTTTATTTTGGGGAACTAGAAATGGTTGCGTGTCTTCTAAATGTTATTAGAATGTCAAGAGGTTCAACTATATATGTGTATTTATAAATGTAATACACCCATGTCTGGTATCAAATATACACTAGTATGTTCTATAATCAACATTAGCCTACACTGCTCCTATTACCCTATTTCTAATACTAGGAACAAATGCCAGAAATATTCGAATGACTGCACAACATAAAAAGCAATGAAAAACAGCAATGCCAAGCTATTTGACTAGCAATAGCAAGCTTGTAAAATAAAAAAAGAATCTGTCGTGTCACATGAAGCCTCTCCACGAAGCTTTGCAACTGAAGCATATGAATGGCACTTGTTCCTACCTGTTTGATGGAGTGCATGTGTACCAGATTGGGGTGGGGCACCTATAGGAGCTGGCACTGCTCCCGGGGTAGTATTAGGTTGTTGATCCAGGCTACCAACCCCACCACCACCACCACCACCTGCCACAGTACTCAACTCACTGGGCTGGGATGTAGAACCCATTGGAAAACCACCTGTCCCTGGGAGACCCTGCTGGGTCATTGACTGTCCATATGCACCATATGACAAGCCTAGGCCTCCGCCAATGGGACCTAGAGACTGTCGAGAAAAGGGAGCCGCTTGGAAGGATGATGGGACTGCTGGAGCAGAGTGCTGGAAATTAGCAAAACAAAATATCAAATTTCAACTATAACAAAAACAACTTGATAGTATGAAATAGTTGTAATAATAGTACTGCTGAAAATGTAAAGGAGTATAGTAGATAGAGAGAAGGAGGGGGGGGGAGCATTTTTATATATTTATACACACGTGTGAGATCATTAACCTGTATAAATGTTCAAGGTTTAGGAGCATCTGGGGAACATAATTGTTCTTAACAAATTGGGGATATAGTACCACGGATGCTCTTTAATGGACTAAAATGCTCAATATGTTACCTGGACAATAGCGGGATCATTATGTAGTCCTCCAGGTAAAGTTGGCTGCTTTGGTGTGTCACAGACTTCTATCTTTTTGATGTCTGTGCCTCTGAAGATAATGTATTCATACACTTCATCCCGGGCAGCAACTGGCATCTCCGTTGGCCGGTCCTCTGTGCCAAAGGACCGGACTGTGGAAGAAAACACTCATCAAGAAACTGAAGAACCCCATCACTATGACAGTAACAAAGTTACAATACTAATACTGTTGTTACTGCTATTGCTAATTGTACTATCAAAATTAGAATTCTGTTGCCCATATCCAATGGTACAACCCAATACAACCATATTCTAAGTTGCCAGAAGGAAATTCTAAATATAAAGAATTTTCCTTAAGAGGAATTCCCTTTGGCCTGTTTTAGCACCCCTTAAGGGGATGATCGTCTGGTAAATTTTCGCCCTAATCTTCCATCTTGCCGAAATTGATTTAAATGCATTTTAAAAGTTTCAGGGCCTCTGAATCTCCCCTGGAATTTTTAAATCCCACCTGCTATTTTGAAGGTGGTAGCAGCCACTTTTGAAATATGATTTTTTACCTTACCTTAGAAAATTGGCAATTGTGATGTAATGATCATATAAGCTTTATTATTTTTTTTTAAATATACAATTAGATAAGAATGATATGCTGTGCAAACCTACTTCCCCCCAAAATGGGATTAGGTGTGCAAATTGATACGGATCACCAAAATTTTATGGAATTCAAGTTATTCTAAGAAGGTAAAAATTTCTTTAAATCTGTCAAAAAAAAAAAAAAAAAAAAAAAAAAAAAAAAAATACCCAGATCACCAAAGTGTAACAGCATTTAGGTTAGGCTAAGACACCTCTTGGTAAAAATTTAATTAAAATTTGTTCAAAACTACGAGTTATCCTTGAAATAAAAAGTAAAACAAAATAAATGGAAGTAACAATTTATATAAACATAAGGTCATGAAAAACATGGTAATGATCTGTATATACATATATATCGTATATTCATACTGTACCACCACCCTGTATTTACATGGGAGTGTTGGTGTGGAAGGCAAGTGTTTTGCCTGTGGACTTGCACTGCCTTGGACATTGGCCTTAGGCCTTCTCTCGCGACCCAGCATGCAAGTTCAGTGGCATGGAGAACGATGATATTTCAGACAAGCATTTTATGTTGTAAACCCCCATTATATCACTGATAAAGGGAAACAGGATTTTATCATATAGAACTATTTCATATATCATTTGTTATCCATAATGTAAATAAACTAAGTGTGTAAGTGTGTGTGTGTGTGTGTGTGGGGGGTCGCAATATTTCTTTACACTATAATGTTACACGTAACACGCGTTTTCAGTCGGAAACAAACATGCTATGGCTCATAGCTAAACAGTAAATCTACTGAATGGTGCAAAAAGTTTTTGCAGCTGTTTTTGCTTGTAGTAAAAGTGACATTTCAAAAAGCCACTTTTGTAATATTCTAAAGTAGTGTACAAAAAAGTGCTTCTGCATACAATAGAAAAATATTCCATTCAAAAATGAAATCAGAATGCCTGTATTATAATATTTTTTATTTGGTGTTTAGAGAAATTTTAAAAAATGGTCCAATTCCGCAGGGAAACATCAAATCAGACCCTACCGTAAGAAAATGAGTCTAAAGACACTGTTACATGTTGAGAATTTCTGCAAGACTTCAGAATGCCAGTACATGATAGAGGATTATTATTTAGGAATATCTGCTTCTCCCTTTTATTGTTCATACCAAAAAATAACGAAAAAAGAAAAAACTTCAATGACCATTATTGCAGAAGTATACTTATTTATGCAGAAATGCCATAGCAAATGCAAATTTAGTCCCCTAACCTTATTCTAAAATATGAAACAAATAGGTGAGACTAAGTTCTTAAATCCTTCCTCCTCACTAAGAGGCCTCGGTGAGCTAACATACCATTCACAAGTGACACTATGTCCTCCTTATGGATCTTACTTTGCGTTTACAAATATTCATGTGGCCATTCTTTTAGCTGTATAGTTATTTGAAACAATTCTTCCAACCATTACTTAGGCATGCATGTAATACTGTGAAGGTTAAGTACCTGCTTTCATCTGGCTTCAAGGCCACAGAGGTATCCCTTCCTCCTGATCCCACCAGTCGCTTTCTCCTGTGTCAGAAGTGGCTTCCCCCAACCAATTCTTAATTTAAGAGGCACAGATGGAGACTACAACATCCCAATGAAGGACTCAATGGGTGTATCATAAGCCCTTGGAGGGCAATTAGAATCCATGGGCTAAATACTTAGGAAGGGGCTCTTGCAATATACTATTAGTAAATGAGCAGAATGCACCATCCATAAGCTATGACTGGAGGAGTACCAGTACAAGGCATTATTATTATCACCATCCTATTCCTGCCTACTGTGAACAGCGGCACAGGTTGTATTCCAGAAAATTGATTGTTACGCATAAATGAGAAAATGACAATGTACACCGAGTTATGGACTGCCCAAAGATATGACATGTAGTCTGTGCAAGAATAATTGTCTAATTACTATAGAAAGAAAGAAAAGAAGAGGAGGATGGTACCTTTAAAATGGGTAACGGTCAAAAAGCAAAATAAATGTGCTAGACTTCAAAAGGTCCTTTAGCACTATTGAAAGGTGCAGTAATGGAAAGGGTAACGATGGGATTTACTTGAAGATTCAATAAGCTATACATCAAAAGTTGTATAGCAATTCAGAAAGGTAGGGATTAACAAGGGTTATTCAATAAAAAGTTGTCAAAGGAAGAAATGTGGGATTTTGCAAGGATGTCTGTAGGGTAAGGTAGGGATTAGCAAATGACAATGGAGGTTTAAGGGCACTTAGATCACAGGGTCACATCCAAGAGGAAGAAGCAGAAGGGATAATGGCAGAAGGAATAGGGTGGGTGATGCAGCTGAAACAGGAAGGAATGGGATGTGTTGGGAGGGAGTTGGAGGAAGGGGGGCAGGGCGAACATGAACAGGAGGATGGATGGATGTTAGCAGTTACTTTGAGGGAAGGGGACAGAGGGATGGAGGGAGAGACTAATGGAGGAGGAGAGAATGGGGTGGAGCATTTCGCTTATCTTGTGTGATGAGTTGGGCAAGAAGGAAGAGGGGAAGGTACTGGAGAAATAGTGATTGAAGTGTCTTGAATAGTGGTGGAGACTGGGGTGTCTGAATGGTACCTTTAACCCATCAGCCATGGAAGGCATCATATGATGCACAGTGCAATTGACAGCCAATCCCTTCATACAATGGGTGGCCGCACGGCCTGGGAGCAGAGCAGGCCAGAGAATATCAGCCGCCAAGCCAGCGTCCCCCTAGCGGCCTTACAGGGCACAGGCCCGCTACCCCAGGCCTGCGCAGGCAATGGGCTTTCCCCCGCTTGTGCTAAAACCAGGCCCGCCACTCTTTCTGAGCGCATTTACATAAGTTTGCGAGCTTGCATGTATTTGCAAGGGTCTTTGCAGACTTTTGCAAACTTATATTTTCAAAGATATACATAAACATGTGTGAAAGAGGGAAAGCAGCACTGCAACAGTGCACACACTCCAGCACAGTCCCATAAATAAAACTATGGGACTACATGCCATATTGCAAAATACTGCGGCCATGGGTAAGAATCTGGTTTATTTCATATACTTGCTTTTTAGATTATAAAGAAATATGCGTATTAGTAATTATAGAAGTTTTTGTTTGGGTACTTTTCCCCCTTCAGTTAGGACAACATTAATGCTTCCTGTGGTGTTACAGTAGGCGTGGATTTTCATCTCTGACCTGTACTTAACCCACTGATACTACATGGGCAGATATACATGCCACATGAACTGCCATTTACCATTTATTTATATATTTATGATAATTTTTTTATGCAGATGGCTCAACAAGTGTTTAGTCACTAATGTGTCAATTAGTAGCCTTAGCTGATCTTTTGTGAGGAAATAAGGAGGCCTTTGAGTGGCTAAGGTAATCTTGAAGCTATATGTGGCTTTAATTATAGATCCCTTTAGTCATAAGCATATTTACTTGTGATGCAATGCACAAAGGAAATAAATCTGAGGAAGTGCATTCTTCAAAAATACAGTGACAATGTTACTTAAGCTCACTAATTGTTGGATAAAAAATTGGCTAATGCCCTGTAATGTAGATTACTGGTGCACAGTGCCAATTCCCTAATTTGCACCTGGTTTGTTAAATACTTAAAAATACAATATTAGGTGCCCAGTAGCTTGCAGCTCCATTTCATAAACAAATTTTAAAAAATTTAAGGTTTCCCTTACACTTTTACCATGTAGTGACACCAACCAATGTCACTATTATTACAGAAAGACAAGCTCCCTCTGATGAGCTGATGGTGAGGGGAGTGTCGTCATGCCATGCCATCCACGTCTCAGTCCACCATACTCATTGGGGTCAAAGTTAACCCAGTGCCAACGGGTAAAAATGTTTGGCAAGTGGACGTATGGACGGGATTGTTGGCGCGCATCGGCAGTTTCCCTTTTGCGCCTGGCTCGATTGGTAGTTTGCGAGCGACATTTAGCACCTAAAAGCTTTTATTTTGCTATAATTTATAAAAATATTAAAAATTTGAAGGTTTACCTTTATTATAGGTGCCATTGCCTAAAATCTTTACCATATAAATGAAGCCGCTACTATCGGAGAAAAACAAACTCAGTCCAATGAGCCAGTGGCACGGGAATGGGCATGACACGATGCTACCCGTCTTTCGGTCCAAAACAGCCATGGCATGTATGTACATGCCACCTGTCGGCTAGGGGTTAAGGCCACATACAATAAAAAGTACTCCATTTTGGGGTTTCCCTTAAAAGATCTTTGATCTTTATTTGAATTTTCCAAAAACCTCCTTTTACAATATGATCAATTTATCCCTAATATATAAGCTTTTTACTTGTTGCATATATTAGCAACGCTATTCAGTAAACAAAATATCAAAATCCTTTGTCCTCCTTGGTGCACAAACATTTCCTAGTAGTCCAATCAGGTTTACAGTGGATTCTTGCTAATAAATGGACTTCAACATCTTTTGTAATTCTATACCATTCTAAAATGGTTATCTACAAAAGACAAAAATCATGGAACTGTCATGTTTGTACTAGTCCTCCCTTGATATCTATCACATTATTCCGAGGCTATCAAACCAGAAAGCATATACGCCAGCGACAACTGGAATGCATCCAGAACAAGGTCTATTCCTTTCACATTTACCTCAGTGTTAAGAGTAATAGATGCCATAACATGAAGGGCTTTCAACAGATAAGTCATCCATTCCAATGAAATTTAAAACTATGAAAATTTAAGTCAAAAATTTTATCTTTAAATCTGTGCAACTTGGTCATGAGAAAAATGGCCTTAGAAATAGCTAACCTATCCATTCTATATCCTGTTAACCTTTAGCAATGTTATAAAGACCCAACCTTGTATAAAAAGACTGCAGACTGCCTAAAAGATTGTCAACTATTGTTTACTTCTTGTGGTAAAAAGTTACATTAAACTTAAATTTCAGTTTAAGTTTAACCCACTTACGACGGGTGTCTCATATACAAGACACCCGGAAAAATAAACATTACCGGGCGTCCAGCCGGTGCGATGCTACATCGGAGCTTGTGCTCTGATTTTGTCACCTGTGGCGCATGGAAACCATTATTTTCGGCTTGAAAATGTACCGCCGCTAGTGGGTTAAAGAGAAGCTCAAGACTGTGGGGGGACTGGCAGTGCATGGCAGTTGGATGAATAGCTTTATAAGTAACTAAATAAATGGAATTGGTAATTGATGAAAAAATTTCTATTAGCCTTTTTCATTTTGTCTAGATGCATAATAACGGTGATGAAACCAACATTATATTTCTGTTATTCTACAAACGTCACTTTAATCTGCAACAACTACAAGTTTAAAATACAAGAATTCGACCTATTGAATTTGTATTGTGTTAATTTGGTTCTGCACCCTAAAGTATAACAAAACTATGGGTCTGCCACTTATGCCAGTCATAAGGCACATGCCTCTGGAGCTACATTTAGTAAGAATAGATCCAATAACTAGAATTTTATAAATGAATACAAATCACTTGAATATTCTATTCAAAATGATGACCAATGTCAAAATTTAATTTTACAATCGCTTTGAAGCTTTCTACACTAGTAACACTAAGGTTTCTTGCTATTCATACTCTGACATAAATGGATACAAGGTTAAATCTTATTCTGGAGATACATGCAGTGAAAAGTAAACAAAACCCACATTGGATCCCATGCTGGATACTGGGTGCTGTCAGCTGCTCGAGGGAGAAAATTTGAAGCAGGGGAAACAACTTGCTATTATGACTGGCTACAGCATACACGATTTGCCAGCGAATGGGCTAAAAAGTGAGCCTACTTTTGATGGACTGAACCCTTTAAATGCTGCAGTAATGGCTTAAGTGCACAGCTATTATGCATACAACCTGGAGCCAGCTGGAGGTGCAGGGCATAGATGAACACACAACCCATCTCTAATTAAACTGATCATCTTTATTTAAAGGCCAATTTTCTTCTGACATCTGTAGCAAGTTAATACTCTACAATAGTGATACATGCAGCCAAATAATTATTATGGCTTGTGTGGCTTTGGGACAAGTATGACTGACAATCCACTAAATAGAATTAATTAACCGACTGATTAACAAAAATCACACCTGGTGCTGCAACAGCAAAAGTCATATGGTGCCAAATTACTAATTACAACCCAGAATATCAGAAAAGTCTTGGACTAGCCCTTGTACAAGAAACAAGGAGGTCAATGGACTATACATGATAGACATGCTCAAGGGAATTAAAAGGGAACAAACAGGTTATATAGAAGTTCATAACCCATTTTTATACATAATATTCAGTAACTCTTTGACCATAAGACATCAGACAAAGAAACTAATTTTTGCTTGAAACCTTGCTGGCTCAAGACTAGAGCAGTCAGTCAACCATGACATCTGTTATAAGGACCCAACAGGTTGGGACAACTGGACACCAGCATATGCCATGAGAGAGATTCCAGGAATGATCTAAGCCAAGGGGGGAAAACCGTCTTAATTCAATCTTTGTTTACTTAGAACTCCCTATGCTCAAATATGAATTCTTCCTATATACAAACAAAGCAAATTCTCCCCAAACTGCACATTTGTGAAACAACTCGCAAAGCCAATGTAAATGTACAGAGCATATTATACAGCCATTTGTTTCATTTCCAATTCTAAGCATATGGAACAGCATTTAATAGACTAAACAAAAACAAAACCACAAACAAGTCCTGGTATTTAATTTTCTCCATGACCAATCCTTTCATTTCCAATCTATAAAAGCTCCAGCTAATGACAGGGTGCAATGGTGTAATTAGCTACACGAAAGCAGATGGTGCAATTATTCTTTCAGGCAATTTTATATCAAATTATAATTGAGGCATATTTTCCCTTGTGATGGGGGAGGGGGGGGGTGTTCACATACTTCAAGGCCTACTTTGTTTTGACTGCTTCATGCTCCACCAAAATAAACAAAAGGTCTCTAAAAAATAAAGCTAAAATCATTTATTTTCCCTCACTCGCCGAGAACATACTTTGTTCCCCAGAGGTCAAAATACTGTAAAAAGCTACTTCCTTATTTGGTCAAAAAATAATTCATCTTTCTCCTTGGGAATTCCCTTGCCAAGGTTGCGGCTTACATACCGATTCTCTAGCCGAAAAATCTGACACTCCATCATGCTAGCGACAGAAGAAAAGAGAAAAGAAAGGGATTCCATTTTTAAACTCCCCCCAAAGTGCGCGTCACTCGACAAAGTGCGACTTGGTATAACTGCGTAAAAAATAGAAAGTCGTCTTCATTTCCCTCTTAACATGTACGTGTACCCAATTAAGAAGCGTATTTTGTGGCAAAATACTCAAGGATTCATTGGGGTTAGCTAGATTTATTCATGGCCTCAGCGTCTTCCGCCTCGGGTTGTAAACAAACAAAACTTACCCTTCGCCAGAGCAATAATCGACTCCTGAGCGTCGATGGTGTACAAAATCCCTTCATATCGGATTTCAGATTTAGATATAAGGCTGATTTTACTACCCAAGAAGGGTACGGGCCCACTCATGGTGGATGATCACTCTTTTAACAATTTCTATCACCGATGGCTAACGATATTTGCTAGGATTTGAACCGCCTCTCAGTCATTGTGTTCGACGAAGGTTACCGGTATGTGACGTCACAGGTCAAGCACCGGAAGACTATATTACTCTTTCGGTTCTTCTGTGACTTTCTCCTGGCACAAGGGACCATATATTAACGCGAATTCACTAGTATATTGAAACTGTAATTTGATGGCGCGCTAAGGTCAAATATAGAGTACTTTCTATGTTTGCGAAGTCTTTCGGGAAAATCGCTCACGGCGCGAAGTTCCAATAATTCTCCAAGAAAATATTTACATTTTAGGAACATCATATTCGACATATCTTAATATTTTGGGTTGTAAAAAAATCCCATGATATCTAAAAACAAATATCAAATTCCCAGAACTGAGAGAAAAATACTTTGAGTAAAATATTTATTGCTGTGACAAAGTAAATCATTTTGATAAAATCCATTAATGTTTGCAGTTTTCCTCTTGCAAATTAGATACCGGTGTCTATATAAATGAAATCAAATATATTATGTTACTTAGTTAAAGTCTTTATAGATACACAATTAAACAGCTGACAGTTTTGTAAGTAAAACATGGCAAAAGTAGCTGATAAAATATTGCCATGTACATTTTAACAGAAAGGGAAATTGTACTATCAAATCTATTCTCTTAAACTTCGATTACTTAAAAAAGATATATGTCAAATTCAAAAATAACTTTAAAATATTCTAAATTTAAGTTTCATAACGCAATGATGTAACCTCAAAACTCAGTACTCTCGGTTACTTTCGCCTCCTCCGGCCTATTGCTTCATCGCTAAAATGGCACTGGCTGCCACTGGGATCGCGAGAGCTAATCTTCTGAAAGCAAGAGTCTCTGGAATTGCACTCCAGGTAAAGTATAAATACAGTAGATGAAATTAGTTTAGCAAATTTCAAGATGTAGGTTTAAATCGGGAAAATATCCCCGTAAAGACCGGAAAAACGTGCTTTAGAAATGCCGAATCTTTCGCCGGACGATGTTGTTTACTATTACTGTATGTTATGCAAAGAGGAAAAGTGGCGTAGTTTCATGATATAAAGGCAAATATAAATTACTTTGTGCATAGGTGTGTGCAGGTCAGAGAATCTGTGAATTTCCTAATTTACCAGGAACTCCATGTTGGAATTACTGTAAATATAGATCTATTAAGGTTGAATCGTCTGTTCTGGATGTTTTCTTGCCATTGCTCGTAATTGCGTTAGTTATGTAATTTTGACCAATATTCTCAAAGGATTAGCAGTACTGCACCGGTGGCAGGTTTAATTAATGGACTTTGTGGATTAGAAGGGTAGGTATTTGTATAATCTGCTACGTTATCTGCAAAGTAGGGCATGTTATGTGTTGGGTATGAATGATAGTTCAGTTACATCCTGTCTTAGGTTTGGTATAGTTATGTAAATGTGTGAGTGATTTGAGAATGATTATTGGTTGTAATAATTGTTTTGGGTAATTCTGTACGGGGAAGCTAGTCATTTTGGCCACTTCCATTTCACCCCTACCAGTTCCCCCCAAGGTATGGTCTGTCTGACGCTCTCTCCTGCTGTTAACCCATTAACGACGGTATATTTTGAAGCCGAAAATACAAGATTCCGGGCGGCTACAAAATCGGGGGTGGAGCTGCCCCGGACTCTATCTGCCGGCCAACCACGGCCCGCTGCTGTGTCAGAGCGTGAGCCCCGATACAGTGTCACACTGGCGGACGCCCGCAATGTTTATTTTTGGGTGTCATATGTGGGACACCCGTTGCTAGTGGGTTAATATGTGGAGGAATCTTTTTCCTGGGTGGGGGTTGGGGGAAGATAGTCCCCCATAGAGAGTTGCAGGGGCATAGCCCCATGATTAGATAGTATAGGGATGGATTATGTGTAGATTCAATTGCTGCTTGGGGTGAACTGGTAATTAGGGCTAAACAGCTTAAGCTGCTTTGGTATGGATGCACTTGCTAGAGACTAAGGGTAAAGGGTTACGTCAGAACCGCACCTGTCAGAGACTAAGTCCCTGACTCCTGTAGGGAATTAGGGGTTGGGGGGGGATTAATTTCATTCATATCAGGCATTTATAAAGCATAAAGTAGAAAACCAAAATCCCGAACCAAGAAGAGTATTTTTGAAGTGGAAAATTTAAAAACTGGAGATAAGATTTAGCCATGGATGATTTGACATAAATGCATAAACTACCAGAAAGATTGCCATATGAACATTAAATCTTCCTAACCCAGGATCTACACCTCAGTACCCTCTCCCGTTTGTAGTATATCCCCATCAGAGGCTATGCCCCTATTCTCCCAATCACTGTATTTCATATACAATTCCACCCTATTTCCATGCTCATTGTCACTGTGGGGGGCTTAGGAGGTGGAAATGGATTCGGTGCTCGGATCACCTCTGGCTTAGGCCTCAGCCCTCAACTCAACTAATTTTGCATGGCTTTTATGGCTCTGTCTTCCCTCACTGTCTTCCCCTCACTGCTTCTGCTTCTGTCTTCCCTCCTGCTTCTGTCTCACTGCTTCTGTCTTCCCCTCACTGCTTCTGTCTTCCCCTCACTGCTTCTGTCTTCCCCTCACTGCTTCTGTCTTCCCCTCACTGCTTCTGTCTTCCCCTCACTGCTTCTGTCTTCACTGCTTCTGTCTTCCCCTCACTGCTTCTGTCTTCACTGCTCTTCCCCCTCACTGCTTCTGCTTCCCCTCACTGCTCTGTCTTCCCCTCACTGCTTCTGTCTTCCCCTGTCTTCTGCTCTTCTCCCCCTCACTGCTTCTGTCTTCCCCTCACTGCTTCTGTCTTCCCCTCACTGCTGCTTCTGTTCTTTCCCCTCACTGCTTCTTCCCCTCACTCTTCTGTCTTCCCCTCACTGCTTCTTCCCCTCACTGCTTCTTCCCCTCACTGTTCTGTCTTCCCCTCACTGCTTCTGTCTTCCCTCACTGCTTCTGTCTTCCCCTCACTGCTTCTGTCTTCCCCTCACTGCTTCTGTCTTCCCCTCACTGCTTCTGTCTTCCCCTCACTGCTTCTGTCTTCCCCTCACTGCTTCTCTTCCCCTCACTGCTTCTGTCTTCCCCTCACTGCTTCTGTCTTCCCTCACTGCTTCTGCTTCTCACTGCTTCTGTCTTCCCCTCACTGCTTCTGTCTGGGTCTTCCCCTCACTGCTTCTGGCTTCTGTCTTCCACTGCTTCTGTCTTCCCTCACTGGTTCTGTCTTCCCCTCACTGTGCTTCTGTCTTCCCTCATGGCTTGCTTCTGCTTCTTTGAGACCATTTTGAAAGGATGAAAGGCTGACTTTGTGCCAATTATGAACGGCCTGGGGGAGCCACGGGCATGGTATTCCCGTTTAGTTGTTTATCTCTAACCCCTCGAGGTAACCCAAAGGGGTTGACTGTTTTTTTTCCCAAACTTACTCCAGGCTTACCATGGCATCCCCTACTATTTCTTACTCATCACTTTCCTACTCCCTTCCTTTCCCTCTCCCAGTCATACTCTTGCCATTCTAAATCCAGATACCCCAATCTCCACCACTACTACCTACCCATCTTCTTCCTCGCTCAACTCATTGTGCAAGATATGTTAAACATTCCACCTTATTATCATCTGCATCAATTCCTACATCAACCTCTCGCTCTACCCCTCTTCTCCTCTCCTCGTAAGAAAACCTTTGTCAGACCTCCCCAACCTACTCTACTTCAGAAACTCTCAAAGACATTCAAATAACCCAAAATAACAGGCCTACACCTTATCCATCCTCCGATCTCCTTTCTCCCATTCCCTCAACACTCAAAGTAACTGCTAAACATCCACCCTCCTCCCACTCATGTTCCCCCTACATCCCTTCCTCCTACTCCCTCCCAACACATCCCATTGCCCCTTGCTTCTTCCGCATCACCCCCCTTGCTTCCACATTATCCTCACCAATTCCCCTAGGATACACATGTGACTCTTTGTCACAACAACCCCCTTCCCTGGATTCTCTCTCCAGACTTTTTTCCTAAAGCCGTGATCTAATCACCCTTAACCCACCCACGATGGTTGATTTGGAGAGCAATAATCCCCATTTCCGGGTAGTATCAATATTGGCATGCGGGCCAGTCTGGGAACCTGCCCACACACTGCTTGCCTTGGGCAACAAAATCGAAGTGCAAGCTCTGATCTAGTGTTGCACTGGTGAGAAGCCGGCCATGGTCTGTATTCCAGTCGTCACGTGTGACACCAGGGGCAAGTGAGTTAAACTTCCCTTTCTCCTTTTGTTAATCCCTACCTTACCCTACGGACATCTTCCTTTGACAACTTACCCTCTCTATCCTCACCCCTCTCTGCCCTTTTAATGCCATACTATCCTGAACTACTATATGACTTTTGACATGTAGGTCATTTAATCATCAACTGACCCCTCTCTTTACCCTTTCACTATTACACCCTAGTGCTAGATGACCTTTGTAGCCATTAAGCATTACCATACCCAATGTTATAACCTAGTCAGGGGGCTGTGTCCCCTGAACACCTATGGTTTTTGCATATTTCTAACCATTTATTACAAAGACAGGGGGCTTTGTCCTCTGGACACCCCTCCTCCTTATACAATGTCCCAAGCCATACTCAACCTATAAACCTAACCAGCATACTAGACTATAATCATATGGGGTACAAGTTTGCTGTATCAAGTAGAAACTCTAATTGTTTTCTTGGTTTAAATTACATAATTTTTATGCATCTACATAAAATTTGTTTGTAAAATTGCACACCTTTGTACAAACTGAAATTTTCATCCATTCCATTAATTGTCAGACTTCATTGGTATCGTAAACCTTTGGTGATGGATGGCATATCAGGCAATGCATCGTGGCATAGCTTGTGCCGTTGGTTTTTGGATAAAGTTTGTCTCTGATAGTAACGACATCATTTGTTTGGTGTCACTATTAGTTACAGGCAACTTTGTGGGAAGAAAATCCTTCAGTTTTTTTATTATTATTATTATTATTATCATTATTATTATTATTATTATTTATTATTTTTTTTAATGAAATACCAGTGTAAGCATCCAGATGCCTAATATTGTGTGAATAGAGAATGAGCCGG